AAAAGAAAGAGAAAAACTAAGGGGTAAAAAACTTCTATTCCATAGTTGCAGGTGTGTTACACTTTTGTTGCCCCAGCAGAAGTTCACAACAGAGTTGATGACAAAGAGCCGGGCCCCATGCAGCCTATTGTGGCCTGGAGAACAATATGGAGGCTGTGAATGGCTAATCCCTCTGGACCGCTGACAGGTTGGGCCTTTAAGCAACCAGGGCACTCATTTCTCCACTGGGCTGGGCCGCTGTCTGACAGGGATGGGAAAACCCAGGCTACTTACAGCGACTGAGCCTTCGCCCAGAGCAGAGACTGGGAGCCATTGTGAAGTGAAAATATTATCTCCATTGTCAGGTTGTGGCCGTCTTTGTAATGTCAGTAGATGAACATGGGGAGAATATACCACCGGAGGGGGACTGGAACAAGCACACAACCAGCTGAGACTGTGTGAACGCCAGTCCTCCAGGTTGAGAGGTTTTTGGTTTAAAATCCTGTCTCAAAACAATTTCTTTTGACCTCATTAATGTTGCACAGAAATACCTGTATCCCAAAGGAATCTACAATTAACAAAAAGTGTTTGTGTTGATATTATCATTTATTTATATGTATTATATTTTTAAATGTTTTGACATATTTAAAATTCTCTTAGCCAACATTAATGATGTCATATGCCCTTTATTCATTATTGTCATCTTAATATAATTGCTGAAAATGAAAGGGGAAATCAAAAAAAGAAATTGTATGTGTATTCAGCTATACTTTCCATGCACACATGACAGGTTTTTTACCTTCATCTGTACGGACAATCTGTTTCCATGCCTGCAAGACCATATCTTAGAGCACCTTACATATCCAAAAACAATGGGAGAAATATGCAGTCGAGTGTGCATGTAAAACAAGCCCACTGAAAAAAACCTGTTTGTGTAAATCTCTTTGTGAGAGAGACAGAAAGGTGAGGACAAGATAATAGGCCAGGGGGCACCGCCCAGTCCTTGTAAACAGGGCCAGGATAGCTCCACATGCCCTGAGAGCAAACACAAATATCTGTTTCTTCTGGGCTTCCATTGGCAGCAGCTCTGGAACCAGGACACCACCCAAGCAGCTCAGCGACACAAACAGCAGTGCAGAGCTGATATTCAACTCCCGGCCTGTGGCCCAGTTAGGGAGACAGTGGAGGACGAGGCCCACAGAGGGCCGCAGGGGCTTGTGTGTATGTTGTTTTGTCAGCCTTCCTCTCCTCGCGCCCTCCTTACCCCTCCTCACCAATTTATGCATCCTCCCTCCTGTCTTCTTCCCCCCCCCCCCTCTGTTTGGCTCGACCTTCCCTTTCAGAGAGTTCAGCTCATCCTGCCACAAAGAGCCTCCATTCTCTCCTGAGAGGAGGCTGCCAGTCCAGCACTGTAACCCAATCACCTATCTAACAGAGGAGTGTGTCATCTCCACAGAGTAACAGGAAGTCTCGCGCAAAAGACAGATCTACGTCTCTCTGTCTCTCTCTTACTCACCAGAGGGCATGTGCATACATACAGATCTGGACGCTTGCAGCAACAAATTAACAACATCCTGGACAAAATAGCATGACATTTGATTTTGGGTACTTTTCGACATGGGGGTTTATATTGACATTGCCTGCCTTATCTTTTAAATCACAACAGAATTAGAATATTGTGTCAGCAAGAATACTAATTTCATGCACAGAAATGTGTCAGCACCAGCAAGACAAACACTTTCTCCCGCAACGTCCAAGTCCAGCTTTGGATCTGTTGCAAGTATCCTTAATCTTCTGGTTCCTCAGTTCATGGGCACATTCCTGGAGATTGTGAGTGTGGATAGAGCATGTAACCAAAAAACATCCACATCCATGTTGCACTGCAATTTGGCTGCAATAATCAGAATCTGCACAATTTTAGAAAAGGCAATACCCCAAATTTTAACTTAAAGTCCTGTTTTAGGATGACAGTTAGTTCAGGGTTCAACATTTTCATACCTGGAAAGAATGTATTTTTTTAAAAAACAAAGCCTGGACACAGCAGAGGAACTAATCTCCCTATGGGGAAGTGTATACATTAGGCAAACGTGATTGAAATAGTTTGGGATTTACATATCCCTTTTCTCATTAGTGGTATTGAGTGACTGGATATTGAATAACAAACACGCTCAAAGTGGGTTTGGAAAGCTCAAAGCGTCCAGGCTGGATTCCTGCAGGCTGTAAGGGTTGAAGTTAGTGCTTTTTTGGGCAGCTACAAAGGCAGCCTCACTGAACCCCCCGATGTTGCCTTTGGACCCATAGTTCCTTCCTGTTCATGGAAATTCTTCTACAAACGAAAAATGTTTCAGTCTTACCAAAAAAAGAAAAGACAGTTGGATTGTGCTGAGCCTTGATGGCTGACAATGCAATTTTATATCAAAGCAATGTGCTCCGCCTGAATAAAATTAATATCTGATTACGCTAGTTTAAAGAAGGGATGAAAAAAGAATAATGATAATGAAACAAGACAAAATTTCTATGTGAACAGCCCACAAAGAGCAAAAGGGTAGATGTACTGCAGTTGTGTTCTCATTTAATAAATGCAGGCGTTTGGTTAAAAAAACACAAATAACGGTTAATTGAACAAGTGATGTTTGGTGACTATGTGTTGAGGAAGAAATCAAGGAAAAGGAATTAAATGCACAGCTTTCCAAATCCCAACATACTGCCAGTGCCAAGGAAAGCAGCAAGTGTCTCATTTTGTGTGAGCATGCCAGCTATTATGATGTTGTGCTGACCTCTGCTGGACATAAAGATTCATGGCTCTTGAAATTCAAGATATTGCATTGTATATTAGGGATGTTCTAGTTCATGTGTGTATTTAAACCTATGATTCTTTAAACATGCTTATGGTAGCAAAGAAGAAAGCTTTCTTGCATTAGGACGGTTAAAAATCACGTTTTTGTGCACTTCTGTTCACTTTGTCTGTAATTTTCTACCCCCACAAACAAAACTCTTTCCAATTTACTCGTACAGTTTTTTTTACTTAACTCAATCTAAAAACAAAATGAATAGAAATCTATCAGCCTTTTCACAGCTGGCATTCTGACTTATCCTAGTAGGAAAACTACAGCTGTAACTAACAACTTTAACGGCAGCTCTGTTCTATTCGAGTGTCCCAATAAGTCATGACAGTGTGACAGTAAACCATCATTCATTTTATCATTTATACCTTTACGTTTTTCTTACTGCAACATGTCAGAAATGTCCTCTAATATCGCTACCTTTAGAACCTCATACTGCTAATCACACTGTCCTCTATTTAAACTTCAAGGCAAATTCTGCAAACAGTGTAAGAATATTCCACTGGTTGCCAATGCAGCTTTCCTTGTTTTGGGAAATATCTTCCATTTAGTGTCAGTATGTTGAAATACGACAGAACAATCGGATTGCTGTGCTAATATGAAGAAAATGATCTTAACAAAAAATCTTACAACATTTCGATTTTCACTGAAAACTGTGTCATTTCATTCAATCTGCAGACTTTTAAATTTTAAAGATTTACAGATATACAGTAATACTGCACCGACAAGGTCATTTTTCATCATAAGATCTAATTTATTTTAACTTGCAAAGTGACTATTTCAAATGTACCAAGTGTTGTACATTATCCTGACTTCTTAAGGTTTCTTTTCTGCTCATCTGAGTGTTAGGAGTACCATGGGTTTGCTGTTGTGTGTTCACATTCCTCACCACTAGATGCCACTCATGTGGCATTACAAACTGCATGAGCTTCAATGAAACTTGCCATTTTCAGCTTGGCAGCAGTGGTTGTGGCCAGCCTAGCCAAAAATTGGCACTAACCATGTGCTGTTTTATTTGCAAAATACAAAAGCTTCATTCCCAGAGAACTGAGATCAGCTCACTGCAGGTAAGCCAGTCCACAAATGTCATAATTTTGTTGACATGCCGTGTTCTGATGAATGGCACCTCATTTTCAGTGCAGTCAAGATGCATGTAAGACATTAACAAGTTGCATTCCCTCAGAGCCACATTTGAAGTTGATGGTGCGAGAAGAGAGGCAGGCTGAGTGTGAGAAGGCAGCTCATTAGCTGTCCGGGTCCAGCAGAGTGGCTGGCTTCTCCCAGGAGAGCAGTTCAGAGTTCTGGGAAACTCACCAACACGCCAACAGCTGCGGCTCCACATGAACCTGATGAAAACTCTTCCTCTTTCTCCTCTCTTCCTCTCTTTCTTCATCTCAAGCACTTTGTCAGTCTGTCCCACCAGACTGGATCTCCATCCATCTGTACTCACATCATTTTGGACTCGTAAGATCAAGAGATCACTGTCACTCGTTCTCTGTCTCTCTCGACTAAGTGTGGATGTTTATGAGCATGTGTGCAAGTCTGGCTCTGGTTGTGTATGTGTGTGTTTGGGGGGGGGCTGCTTCTGCTCCTCCCCTGAACTTTTGACCAAGTTCTATGTTTTGACTGAAATATGAACAACTGCATTCCCTCTGATCACATGGCTCGAGATCTCTGGACTGCAGATAAAGCTAACTCATTTATACATTTAATGACCATATAGGAGATTTACACATTAAACAATCATGATGTTGTGATGGGTAGAGAATTGTGCACTGAAAAAGCTTCATGTCCGAGATACAATTGCATCTGCATTGTATCAGAGTTAATTTTTTAGACAACTATTAAATTAAACAACTATGTGTGTATATCTATTAAAAATGTCTAAATTTGAGATGTCTGCAGAAATGTGATGTTGGTTACATGTACAAATATCAGCCTTTTTTAAAATCTGCTTTTCATGTCAGTGGTGCAGCTATACTGGGCATCAGCAGACTCATCTGCTACAGACATTTTATTTAAACCATCAAGATTAATGGATTTGTGTTCTGTGCATTTGAAGCACATGACAACCTGTGCTCAGAGTCCTGACTGCAGATGACTCACAATGAGATGCTGCTAAATCTCTACTGGAAATATTTCAAGGAGAGAAGACAACATTTATAAGCAAATGAGTTTATCTTAAATGCAAACATATTAAAGGACAAACATATCACAAACACAATAAATACTGTAGATCTATAACATGGCAGAATCCTGCGGCACATTTTAGCTTGGAGATCGCCATAGAGTCAAGTAAAAGTAGCAAAACAGACATAATTTTGAGTTGTGAGGTGGTTTTGTGAAATGCACTCTAAGACCTGTCAAAAACACCCAAATCTATACAGATAGGAATACTAGACATTGCTACTTTATACAGGCAGAGCTCCCAACACTGTATTGTACATAAATAAGGTTTTATCAACCGGAATATTTGTAACACTGTCTAACAAGTGACAAAAACATTAGTGGGAGTTTAAATCCAATATAAATGAGCTTACACATGGTGTAAACATGATGATACTAATTACAGCAAACATGCACAAAAGAAAATATATCTGAAAACAAACTTGGGAGTGTTTATTGCTCTATCTGACATGCTCTGAAATACACAATCCACAGTGTTGAGTTGGATTTGATTCTTCGTTTAGGGGGCAGAGAGGGAGGTTGAGTCACAGCTACCAGCCAGTTCTCCAAAGAGGGGCGCTGGACAAGAGGGGTAAACATTTTTACATTGTCTGCAGGTCTCCAGAAGAACCAAAGCTGGTGTCTGGTGACTCTATGCTGTGGCTCCACATAGTCTTACAGTGGATGAGATGTCCTGGCTGTCCTCTGAGCGCCCTGTCATCATAAATGGCCAGGTCTGTTAAAGCAAGAGACAACAAGGTTTAGCAGTGAAGAAACACATCCAGCACATGTTTTCCCAGACTCACTATAAATTACAATAGTCTTGATGAAGAGATAACCCTAAATCTTTAGAATGATACTTGATACTTGAAATATTATGATATTGTAATGATTATGTAAAAGAAATTACATAACAAGGTCTCTATGAAATTAGAATCTGTAGACTGTTAAAGTGGTTATTCATTTGTCGTGTAAGCCAATTTGTTAAAAAAAAGTACACATAGATGTAGGCCTTATTTCACTTTAAAGCCTGTTTTCGTATCTTAACATGTTTGTTTCGCAAAGTTAAATCTTCATACCAGATTGACTGGGTGCGCAAAGCGGTTCTCGTATCGGTCATCGTGCAGAAGCTGTCTCAGGTGAGAGATGTAGCTCGAGGCGAGTCGAAGCGTGTCCAATTTGGACAGTTTGGTGTCCGCTGGTACCCAGGGGAGGCTGGTTTTTAGTCTGGAGAACGCTTTGCTCAGCACTCTCATCCGCGCCCTCTCCCTGGCGTTGGCCGCGTTTCTTTGCGACTGCCGCGCTTCCCTCTGGTGCGCCTTGGAGAGTTTGCGCTCATGCTTGGTCCTCCCCTCCACACCGTCATCTTCGAAGTCGTCATCCGAATACTGGCTGGGATTATAGCAGTTAATCTTCCGTGCGGTCCTCTCCATAGTGGTGGCAGTCCTTCTGCAGCATGTCTTATAGTCCTCAGCGTCACTTGCAGCAGAGCCGGTGGACATGGCTGCTCCACCTGTGCCTTGGAGGCGGACACGAGTTGCAGTTTAGGGACAGCAGTGACTGAAGATCTAGATTCTCAGCTTGATGATATTTTAGTAAAAGACACGAGGTCGGAAGTCAGCAGACACAACTTTTAAACTCCCATTTGGTAACGCTGCAACTTATCTTGCCCTGAAATATCACCACTTGACAGTGCGCCACTACAGTACCAACTGCTTGAGGTCAAGTCTGAAAATTGCAGCTCTCTCTAAAACTGAAACATGCCTCCTTGCTTAGCTACCCCTCTAATTTAAGTGTCAAAGACTTGGCATCTGTACAGAGTTTTTTGTGAACATTTCTCCTCCCCTTTTTCTCCAAACCCTCATGACCTCAGTAAGACCACAACTCTGTCCCCCTATGTATACTGTTAAAGACTTAAGTTGCTCATCTGCAACTTGTTAACTATACTAATCCCTGTAAATGAATGGCCTATTATTGGTAAATCTAGTGGCAGGTGTGATGAAATTGCCAGAGTCAATCCTTCTAATATGTTGTATTACAGGAGGGCATAACTTCCTGACAATAATACACACAACCATTTGCAACATTTGGAAATGTACATATATAGTAAACATTTCCTACATTTGTGGGTTCCACAGATGTGTTTTGGTAATAGAAATGTCTTGAGGACCTTATCAAAAGTGCTTAATCCTTTGCTGGTTTCACAGAGGGATTGGGTTTCTGCAGATGGAGCAGCCTTTCACACGAAGCCTGGCGAGCACCAGCCCCAGCTGTTATCGGTTCCCATGACATCTGGAGCGTTGGCATGACAAGGGTGTGGCAGAGGCGAGGGGGCATTGTGTTCATTCCCATTGTATCACAATTTTTTTTTACTGTGCAATTTGGTCATTTTTGCCTTTGTTTTATGTCCTTTTCAGAGTGCAGCCACAGATAGAGACCAGACAAGGCAGCACGCGTGGATTGTGATCAAGAGCTAACAGAAGAGGAAAGAGAAGAAGAGACTGAGATTACTTGCAGAGATGCCATACTGCATCTGAGAAAGAAATGTGTTTTGTACCAAACTCCATCCTTCAGACGGAATATCAGCTGTAGTCTGTGAGATTTACAAGTATTACAAAGTACAGTGAGCACATTGCACTATGTTCAAAAATGTAAGTCAAACTTTGGGGGACACTGTGAGGAGCTTGGGGGTGTGGGAGCACAATTTCTCTGAATAAATGAAAGGCTCTGTGTCCATACAGTACGTATAAGAACCACCCTTTACTTACTCAAGATATTCCCAGAAAATCCCAGGTCCCTGATAGCTATTACTCCACATAATACGTGTGAAATTTAGATTTTTTTTATGACAATAGCAAGACTTTGCCAAGAATTACCTAACCACAGCTGAGATGCACGCTTGATTTTGGTAGCTGGCCATGCCAGGCACACTAGCTGTACTGTCCTGTAGTTCCCAGGATGGTGTGTAATTTTTTCCAACATGCTCTCCTCTCATTTTCTTAAATGACTAATATATTAAGTGTTTCAAAACCAGCTATACTTATTTCTTACCTGTTTACAATAATGTTCCAATTAAATTTTTCCATTTTCCTAAATGCAAGTCACTGTGATTTTAAAGTGCACTGCAGTTTTCCACTGCTCAAATTCCCCCCTTTCACAGACCAAGAATGCTCCCTAATCCAAGCACACATTCCCATGCTTCCCACAATCCCGCTCTTCCGTGCAGTTTTCAGAAGAAGACCTGGCATCAGCTGGACCTTGGAGGCATCCCCGCTCTTAGCTTATCCTTGGATGTGTCATGAGGTTGAGATATTAAGTTCCACTTGTGCTGGTAAGACAGTCAGAGCTCCAGGCAGGCTGCCATCTCATCCCCTGTCACGGCATCCATCAGCGAGGTGGACAGCCTGACTGACACCCTTGAAGGTGCAAGCTAAGGGATTCTGCTGTTGGATTTACTCCTCATTTTATAAGCTGTCATTTTTTTTTTTTTTTTTTTTTTACATAACATGAAAAGGTATCGGCTGGGTGACACATATTTTAACCTGCTGCTTTATTCACTGTCAACAAGAAGCAGGTTGAGATAAAAGAAGGGTGCTCATTAGTCATTCTGTAGATGTAGTTCCTCAAACAAAAGCACAAAATATTGTCCAAAACATCAGTGTAATTGATGGTAACATGGTTATTGTATTTGCCATGGGAATAATTAAATTCAGGGCCAACAGTAATAAATATCACTTGAAACTTGACTTGAAGGGGGAGCTAGCATTTGTCTATCAGCAAGGACTTTCAGGGGTCGCGACCTCTATCGGGGCCTTATGCTGGAGAAGCAGAGGGACAGGTGCAGGCTCATGATGTCAGAGGCCTTTCTCCAACCTATGCTTCCCATGATTGCCACTGAAAATCCATCAAACATAGCAAAGTTTTGGAAGTTTGTGTCCTGCATTAAACCATTCCCAGCCTGCATCAGCTTACACCACACATTAATATTAACCGGATCGAGAATTGAGAAACAATAACTGTAAATATTCCAAAAATAAAGACACAATTCTTGGGATACTCATAAAGCATATTGTGTATATTGTTATGTATTAAAAAGTCCATCTTGCTATCTTATAGTCACTATGGAGACTCTTTCATCAAACACATCACATTGATTCATTCATAATCAAAAATCAAATAATCCTATACTCTTTCAATTTAATAGACGTTTTGAAATTGTTTACATCATCCAACACCATTGAACATGCAACTGTATACAGTTTAGAATATATGTCTCATCATTGAACATGTAACTAGTATACGTTTATATATCTATGTCGTGCTTCTACAAGAAGGTCTTCATGTTATTGATGCATTTGTATAGATTTCAAATACACCAAGGAAATAGATAATTTTGCTATGAGTTTCTTCATAGAAATCCTTGTTGTCACACTAATTCATTCACGCATGGGAGGATCTTACGTCACATGCTGTGTCTAACCAACAAACTGAAATTTGATGGAAACCCATTCCTTTCTCTTTTAAGATCACAGACATGTTTAATAATTGGGTGTAACAAACAAAGACAATATGGAACATCATATTTTAGAGATAAAAGTAAAGTACATATAACACACAAAGACCACATTACAGCATTATAGAAACATCTACTGTGCGTTATAGGAGTCTGCAGACACACCACAAATCAATGGGTCATTGGTGTAACATAACAGAGCCATACAGGACAAGAAATCTTGTTCGGTATGGCTGTTTCAGCCCACAAAGACAATTTTAACAACAACCCACTTAAACCATAGATCTGAATTCAGTTTGCAACCCTATTCAGTATTAAACGACACAAGTAAAGACAACACAATTAAGTGCACTTAAATTGTTGCATATAATCTTAATATATTAAATCACATTGTGCGATGTGTGTCATATGATTATGCAAGTTAAAACCAAGACTTTTATAGTGTCGTTATAACTAATTTTTTTGTCTCATCCTCCTCATTTCTTTTTGGACTCGATGGCCTTCATTAGCGGGACCCACCGAGACACGGTGTGTTTTCTTGGTTTGGCCTGAGTCAAGGTTTGCCACATGCCTCTGACGTTCACAGGACCATCGTACTCATCGGCCTCAGAGGTGATCTCCATCTTCTGGATGATGAGCTTCAGGAGGTTGTGCTGCTTCTCCAGCGAGCTTGACATCTCCTTCATCCTGAAAGGTGGAAAAAGTTCATGTGGCTCAAATACAGACTGCATTTAAACTCGAGTGAATTTATAATTGTGCTTTTTTTGGTGCTGCTGAGTTTTTCACGTAGCTTAAAGAAATACAGCCAGTCACATCTGGCTGTGACCTGGTCACATGCTCTGTTTCTTTGTAACCAGTAGGGGCTGCTCATGCATCAAACACTACTATTACATTTCTTAATATATCACAGTTGGTTCCTTATGGTAGCTCAATTTATTGAAAGCAACAATTACAAATTTACTTTTCATCATCTCACTAGTACTTCTTGGAGTACAATTTTATGATTCCAGAGAATAGAAAATTGACTCTCATGTGATTTTTATATGTAGCCTTGCATGCTTTACCTGTGCTTCTGCTTTTTGAGCTCATTCTCTAAAAAAGTGCAGCTCTGTGATTTGGCCTGCAGACGACTCCAGACTTCAGTCTCCTCGTCACCTGTGATTAATTGCCTCAGATAGTGCTGTTAACAAAAGTGGTAAGGATTAAGAAAGGGAAGTGACATAAGTTACAAAGACAAATCAAAATGCTGTACAGTACCTGTTGTTTGTTTTTAAGTATAGAGCATACCCTGGAGCACTTGCGATTGGGGTAGATGGTGATGGAGGGTTTGTCAACTCGTTTCACAAACCAATAAGGCAGCTTGTCTTCTAGAGCGGTGTGGAGGTCAATCTGGGGTCAGAAATTCAGACTTTCAGCTAGAGGTGCTACTTTGAAGATTACTCTTTTCAACTCAAATGTTCTCAAGCTACACAAATATCATATACTCTTCATTTTCCTTTTATTTAAAGATATTTGGGGGCATTTTTTCCTTTATTTGATAGGACAGTGGATAGAGAGAGGAATGAGGAAGCAACAGGCATCACAGGGCTGCAGGCTAGATTGAACCCGGGACACTGCAGTTAGGATTTGTACATGGGGTACACGCAAGTACATCCGTCACATCAGTCACTTCTCACAATAATGTTGCCTTAACTTTACAGGCTCTGTATTGAAATCTAATCTATTTGGGTTACAATATCTTAACAATAAAATTGTTATTATTGTGTGTCACATTTTAAATGTCTATGTTCCAAGTCTTTTATACTCCCATCAAGGAAAGCCAGACTGTGCTAGCACAGAGCAAGCAGGGTAAAAGATGTGATGTCTTCTGTGTTTTTAAAATGCAACATGCAATTCTTTAAAAAGCTTTAGGAACAGATAAGATGTTACCATACATACCTGCATAGCAATTCGTTTTAGGGCGGCATTCCTTTGTACTTCAGCAATGTCTCCAACTGCAAGACCAATCTGCAGTGCAACCAAACCCCAAATAAGAACTGCGTCATTTGTTCAGCAGTTTAAAAATATTAACTAGAAGCTTTTATGTGAGAGGTATATCGACACAACCGGCAGTCGGCCCATACTTACCATCAGGTTCACCAGCAGGATTGGCATGAAGAGAACAAAGTTCACAAAAATGAAGTATGTCAGAAAACCAAAAGGAAGTTGATCATTCAGAAAAGCTTCCAGGAAGTTATTTTGGTAGTTCAGTTCCCCAACCATCATCACAAAGGTTTGCATCACAGAGAGTGGCACGCTCTGAAACTCTTCCTGCAGGTAGAAAATGAATGTCAATTTTATCTATCATAGTTAAATACTGTGGGACTTTTTCAGAGATGTGTAAAATCACAAATTCATTTAAAACATGCATTGGCTCAATATTGACTCCCCAAAGCTTCTTTTTTAAATCGTTTTTAAAATTTAAACGTACTTTTTACCCATGTTCAAAATTTTTAATGTCAGCATTTTACTGGAGTACAGTGATCTTACACTGGGTAAAATGCAGCACATAACATGCATGAAGTGCAAACACAAGCTGTTCATAACAAAGTGATGAGTTTTCATTGGAAACAAAACATGTCTAACAATTGTTTTAACCCATTACCATTATCCAGTCTTTGTGCTATTTTTTTAAGTGACAACATCTTAAAAAAGTAATGGTTTATAATGAAATTGGTGCATTCTGGCTCTCAATAGGATAAAGCCTTTGGTATTAATAACCAACTGTCCTTTTATGCATCGACATAATAAACAAAAATTTCAGCTCCACTGCTGCCACTACTGGGCCCACTCAAGGGACATTTAGTCTTATTGAATTTTGATCAGTGCTTTCTTCTCCTACCTGGTTGAGCATTAGTGCATGGAACGCCAAACCGAACGCTAACACCAGGTACAAAAACACCATTACAATACGAATCAGTGTTCTCATAATTTCCCAAAACATCACAACGTAGATGCCAACACCTCAAACCTGGAGAAACAGGAGATTATACCAGTTAGTGCCTCTGCACCTTAAAAAAGGCATTATGTTGAAATGACACAGTTGAGTCAGAGTGAACAGTACCTCTGGAGATAAAGGAGAAATCCAATCCAGGAGTTTAAAACCGCCATCGCCCCTACTTGCCAGTGAAAAGAACCCTCTGCATTGAGCATGATGGGAATGACGAACAGAAGAGAGAGGATGGCTGACAGCCAGTCAGACTGGTTGGAGTAATCCTTGAAGTAATTCCAGCGCTTTCAAGTGACAAGAAAAGAAAAATCAGCAAAGATACAAAATAATTAGACAGGCCAACAACCTGGTTGATATTTCGGACATTCTGACTGTGCCTGCAGTCCTGCTAATCTAAATCAGAGGACGCTCGTCCATCATACCGGATTGCTGGTGTGTCCACACAGACCTGGTGCTGAACAGATTTATGAGCACATGCTTCATGTGATGTTATGACACTTGTGTAACAGTACCTGTTGTGATATCTGCACCACTTCCTTTGCTATGGCGTAGATGTTCATTGCCAAGACCATCACCATGCAGATGGACAAGAACAGACTTTGCTGTGAAATGAAGAATATAGACATTTACTTTACCACAAAATGACAGTTGTTGATTATTGTAACACTTTATTAAATTCAATCAGCTGTGGTTTAAACAGCTTTGTGGTCAGAACTCTTTTGTGGTGTAATGTAGATTTGCCTTAAGAAAAAACTAATGCAATGATAAGAATGCTAATCTTGATACGATGTGAATGTTTCCTATATGGTTTGTAGCTCACAGATTATTTGGTTGAAAGTATGCTTCCAACCAAAGACCAGGGCAATGAATGTGCGACAATGAGAGAAGTAATTACAAGAAATTGGACAGAAAGAGGTGTGTAAACACAAATTCTTACAAAGCTACAAGAGGAGTGGTATTAGATACTGGACTGAACCATTTGAAGAAAGGTGACATCTTAAGTATGTTTTGTTCTAGTTTAAACTCTCTTGTTCCGTTCCTAAAAAGTGCTGAGAAGTTGCTCATGTTCTGTTCTTGATCCTTTTCAAGGGTCATGATACACCTGTTTTTTACCAACACATAAACCGGACAGGCAGCTGCAACGTGACCAACATTCTTCACATATTTGTGTATTTTGTGTGTATTTGGAGAATTAAAAAGTATATTCACTAGGGGTGGGGATGAGGGCAGAATCATTCATGGTCAACACTAAAATATGTGTGTATGTGTCTAAATAAATTCCACATCGAACGTCGACAGTATGCTAACACAGAGTTTTAACTTCTTGAATTCTGATCATCTCATCATTACCTCTGTGAAAGATATGGGTACCATTTTGATACTGTGCTCGCCCGTGTGAGTGGTGTTCATAGTGGGCCTCAGAGTCACTATCAGGTGAGTCAGGGGCAGCAGGCCTAACAGGTACAAAAACATGTTGAGCACATGAGCTGTGCTCCCATAAGCAACCCTGTGGATTTAAACAAAGAAGGAGAAAGAGCAGTTTTAACGTTAGAATGACATGCAAAGTAAATAATGCATTGATATTTGGTGCTTTCAGCAGAGCACGCCAAAATGAGAAATGTGGGGGGTTAAATCCCATATACGCACCACTTCATTGCTAGGTACTTTTTGCAGACAGGGTGGTTCAGGAGTTCAATGCGGTTGTACTGCACCATCGCCTGCAGAAAGAGTCAGAAAAATAGCCTGCTGTTGATGGCACACAACAGGAAAGAACAGCCCGATGGCCAAAGCTTACAAATATGCATGTACGTATGTGCAATGTGTGATGATGTTAGCAGGCAGAAACATGCTATGAAGTATTTCTAACATTTGGTGGTAGATGGGATTGTTTATTTTTTTGCAATGAATCACATACTACATTGTGTATTACAAGAAGAAATGGTGCTTGCAGTGTGATTGACTATATAACAAAGATGATAATTAGCTGTTTAATGGGCATATCTTTGAACATTTGCATGCAGAGTGAACCCATGTTGAACTAACAATTAAAAAAAGAATTTTAAATTTCACAATATGAAATTACATACGGATGAGCACTGTGTAGCTTTTTGATAGGTTCATTGCGTACACTTTTGCCTCTTCAGCTCTCACTTTCCAACCGGAAAAAAACCCAAAATGGCCTGTCACACATGACGGTCAGTAAATGATGAGTTGCCTACTCTCCCCATGAGCTGTCCCCTGATACATCCACTGCTGACAGTCAACAGCAATCTGTGATAAGAGATATTGACCACTAAGGCAGCCAACAGTAATGGAGAGAAATAGGCGGCACTCAGAACACATTTAGCAGCTTGACCATAAATATTACGCCCAACACAGGGCAGCGTTAACAGGAGGAGAGAAGCCCCCTGACCTCACAGCTGATTCCACCTGGGCCCTCGTTGGTGTCGAGGAAGTAGAAAGACTGCACTTGCTCTTCTTCAAGTTGACTCAAAGCCTCTTAGCTATATTTGTTTCTCTGAATATGCTCTTTTGTAACATTTCAGGGCAGCCAGATGATTGAAAGTCGTATGAACTAGTGAAGTAGGAACAAGGTGTCATCTTTGTCATCAGTTTGTCATCAAGCCTAACAAAGAGGCAGGGCCACGCAATTGCGTCTCTATAACTAGCACAGGGAAAGTAAAATCTCTTGGCTATGTAATTGTCTCTGCAGAAAAGTGGATGGAGAAAAGGATCACCACTGTCCCTTATGGATGAAAAGGCTAATCCTGATCAGATGAGCACGTACAGTACACGCAAAATTTGAGCCAAAGCATACATAAAGGTGAGTGGTTAAGCCTATAATATATCCTTACCACTTCTCAATCATGGGGGAGTAGATTATTTGCATTCTGCACCAAAATTATATTTGAGGAAAAAAAGTTGCTTACGTTGAGTGCAACCAGTGGCTGAATCCTCATGGTTTTGTCACTTGACTTCTGCGCTGCAAGGGGAGCTTGGAGCCATGTGAAACTGTATTCAATCTACACCAGATAAAGAACTGTTAAATTTTTTGCCTGGAATTTGTTTATACAATATAGACTAGTGTGATGTCTTGATTGTGGAACTTGTATCTGAATTACATGGTAGTCAGGACTGTTGTAGTCATCATCAGATTCCCTCACACAGCGATCCAACAGGTGCTAGTGCAGAAAGTAGAAACAAGACAGAGAATCTAAGGTCTTTGCATGTTCTAAAAAAGCAATGTAAACTGCATTGGATAAGCCTATGGCAAACCTTGTAGGTCTCAGGCAGAAACTCAATCATGTCTAGTATGGGACATCGCTGGCTGGACCCATGTTTGAACAGTCTCAAAGCCTCAGTACATCTGGAAGACGAAGAACACAAATGAATCTTAAAGCCACTGCAATCTGTGTAGAATGTATACATTTTGGACTTTGGCGCTACCCAGTGGTAGTTTTCAAAGAGAAATTGTGGTAAACAGGTATCCACATTCCTACTCCCAGGATTTAATGATAGCATGATCACATAAAACTTTAAAATTGGAAGCCCTTACATGTCAAAAACAACAAACATTCAAAAATCAAAATTTGTTGATTTTGAATGTTAGTAATAAGGATGAAGTGTTTCTTTATAGGTTGAGATAATTCTATAAACTTTTTGAAAGTCTATCAGATTATCTGAAAAATGCAACCTACAACCTACCCCTAATATACATATTACATATAAAAATAATAAACATATTATAGGTATGTTATACATATTAATAACACACCTGTCACTGTCAATTATAGCGTTGACCACTTCTGTTCTCCCGTTTTGCAGAGCTTCGTGGAGGAATGACGTGTCATTCTTGTTTAAGACGATCTCTGCTCCCCGAGCCAGCATGAGCCTGACTGCAGCCACATGTCCCTCTCTCGCTGCGATGTGGAGTGCAGTGTTCTGGTATATCAATACATAACAGGAGGCAGCACTCTGCATTTATTATACAACAGCGATGTCTGTATTATTCAATGCCACTGTTAGCTACAGTGTGCTGATGTGAGAAAAACAACTGAATATATATATTTTTTGTTACAATTCATGAACTGTAGAAATAAACTTATAGTCTCAAAACTGTCATCACAAATAGGTGTAAAATTAATTACGAATTTGTTTTATGTTAAACATTCATACCCCATCCTCATCTGTTTTATCCAGTAACTTGAGATTGGCTGACAGGAGAATTTCCATAGTTTGTGTGTATCCTGCAGATGCAGCATGGTGCAGACATGTCCAGCCCTTGTAATCACTGTAATACATGACATAGTAAACAAAGAGGAATAAAAAATTATATGCAGGTTTGTATAATGTAAATTCTAACCACTGCATGTTTGTAAGAATAGCTGGACATTACATATACAATGGTATATTCCCCTGTGGTTTTGCATGTGTCGTTACTTTTTACATTTGTGTATGTGATTTCTCCAGTCTTTACCTGTGAAAGAGAGCTCCTTTGCGCAACAACAGCTGCACCACCTTGGTGTGCCCCTCTCTTGAAGCTAAATGGAGTGGTGTCAGGCCTCGCTCATCACCTTCATTTAGCAGACGAGAGTCTGTGATGGTCTCTAATATTCGGTGACATGTATTGATGCGCCCATACCTTAAGAAGAGAGGGATGAGGAGAAGCACTGGGTTGTGGAAGAACTTTCACTGCTCTTACACAACCTAATACTGCCATTGATCTCTGAAATGGAAATGCTTTTTGTACAAGGCCCACAGCACAACAGAGCCAGAGGTCGGGGGCAGTTACAGCACAGTTCATCTTGGCAATTGAGTATGTTGCACAAAGACACTTCAGATTGCTGTTACAGGGCTTGACCTGTAGGTAAAATAGAGTGAAAAAGTGCTGGGGGAGTGTTATAGACTAATGGCACTGTGAGAAGACATAAACAGAAGCGACACATTGGCTTGCGGTATGATCTTTCTCTGTCTTTGAACCTTTTAAGAAGGCTAGCAGCACTTTGTGTCAGTGCACTGGAACAGGTGGGGAAAGGGAATGAGGTGTCTACAGTGTTAAAGCATGATATCATGGCGTGGCTTTCATTTGCCCTCTAGCTCTAATGAAATAGGTGTACATGATAGAAAAATCATAATCAATGATGTTGAATGTCCACTCATTTCACACTATTAGTACCATCTTCACATGAGCCTCACTAATTGAATTCTATTCTTGTGACAATGCCTCACTATATAATAGGTATGTCATGGCAATTAATCATCAAAAGGCTTTTGAGAACAGAAATTGCTCACTGGATTAAAACAGCAGTGAGGTAACAGTTTTAAATGTACGCACATTGTTCATTTTTCATCTGACCACTGTTCAATTACTGTGATAAATGTCTTGGCTTTTGGAAGATCATAAGTCAAAGCCCTCTGAAGAGCCATTTTTGATTAATGTTTTATACTCTTGTGGTACGACTGATCAATACACAACACTCGTTACAGAGTAACTAGAAGAACAACGTCAGAAGAATGTGATCTTAAGCTGCCTGTGAAGCTGGAATTTTTAAGACAAGGAAGATGTGTCTATACTTTTTTACTTTTAACAACATTGCTAATTATGAAATTCTGTTGTGTAGAAAGCTATTGCTTCAGAGTTTTAACGGTAATACGGTGGATTACATGGGGCACTTTGTTGAGGGAGTGAAGAAAATTGATAGTTGTAGCTTAAAAATAGGAGAATATAAAAGGAAGAGAGTCAGCATTGCACACTGGTCAGCATCAACAGCAGTGACATTGCTGGCACTTCTTTTGGCCAAATGAGCAAAGTTTGAGCAGCAGCTTTGATTGAAAATCCGGTAAACTCAGTACTATTTAGTTCAATGATGTGGAAGGTTATGCCCTCAGGGAATAACTGAACTCACTGAGCAGCAAAGTGCAGGGCAGATTTCTTGTCCTTGGACTTGCATGTGAGGCCAACCTCCCCCGAGAGGCCCAGCATGTTCTTCACTGAGTCATGGATACCCAGTCTGCAAGCGTAGTGGAGTGGGGTGCAGCCCTCGTTATCCTCACAGCTCAGCAGTGCCTTTACACTGTTATTCTAAAGTTAGATGCATTATAAACACATGTATGATGTGCAGTAACATGTGTATTAAACAAAGCACAAAATACAAAAGCCTTAAGTATACTGCAGCAGTCACACTAAATAAAGGGCACACATTATATAACTTCTACCACGGCTACGGTTATACACACACACACACAAACCTACACACAAAAAAACTGAGATTATATAAATAATAACGTAGTGTTATAATATTTAAACACAGAGATCCTATTCACACAGTGGCTGTAAACAACTATTAAGTGTAAATATCAGCCTTCCTATGTGGCTCATTTTGAAGGCATCAGTGTAGCTTTAGGTAAAGCTTGCAATGTTTTAAAGGATCATCGGGCTTAGTGAGAGTATAATGAACTTCATCAGCTGGCATGAATGCAACTAGGCTCGAAGCAAGGACAGAGTAGTAATTAAACTCCAATCTTAATGACTTCTTTGTCTAAGCAGCATAAAGTGCATTTGATGAGTCACAAACAAGTGCCATTTTTTGAGGGTACCTGCAGAACTTCTTCTGGGAGGTTTTTTAGACCCTTGGGCTGTAGAATGGCCAGGTGAAGGAAGTTACAACCGCATCTGTCTTTCACATTTACATTTGCCCCTAAAAGACATAAACAAATGCATGTGTTTACACCTGCATTATCAGACACTTCACAAATAATATGAGCATTACTGGTGGTGAATTAGGCCACAGTACAGTAGCTCACCTTTTGACAGTAGTAGAGTCACAGTTCTCCATGCCCCGCAGCTCGAAGCCAGCAGCAAGGGAGTGTTTCCTTTACAATCAATGGCATTAAGGTCTGCACCCTGAGGAGAGAGGGCACAATGCACCCCAGAATTAACACATTCATTTTTTTCATTCAATTTAGCAACATCTACATAATAAATTCCACAATGCAGCTTCAACCGCTTCAAGTTTCTTCAACCGGAGTAAGTTTTGGGAGCACTGTTATGAGGGTGTTATTTTGCAGACAACAAACACCCAAAGATCCCTCATTTTTTCATAATGTTACATCAGATGTAGGCAATAAAGTGAGGTGTGTAGTGTGTAAGTTCATGGATAATGACATGAAATTGATATTTGATACACTTGACATGTTTAAGATTTCTAAGCTTAACAGCCATAAGAAGTGTGGCAAAAATACAAAAGCAAAAGTGTAATGAAGTGATTAAACTGTGTGTTTTGTCTGCTCTAATGTAGTTGCAATTATGAGCATGTCCGGCTAACTAGCTTGCTACCTACAGTAGTAAACAAGACTATAATATAATTTAATATTTGGCATTTAGCATTTTATGTGTGTAACCCTTGAGTGCACATTTAAGACCTTTTTACAAGATTCTCAATTTAAAAATTGTTTGGTGGTTATGCAGCTAACACTAGCTTAATTAGCTTGCTAGCTACAGAAAGGTCTGCATCAGCAGCAACACTGTATTTTCAAAAGCAATTAAAACATGAATGAAAGAACTCCTCAATTTGAAAAAAATAAACAAGTAACATCAAAGCCTAAGAATTATCTCTGTCATGGCCTGATTTGTTCGTTATTCCAACAAGCGCCAACCCCAAAGTCCCCGTGAATCTTGTGCTGAAAAGCAAATTTATTCGCTGCAATTAGCTGGTCTTTGGTGCCAAGCGATGTCACTCTCTGTAGACCAAGTATATTCCTGTTGCAGTGTTTGCTAACAGAATGAGTTGATAAGAGATAAATTTGGAACCCAGCTTTTTCCTAGCAACACAGTTCCACTAAAACAGTCTATGACGTGCAACAGATGGTGACAGATGGTCTACAAGCAACGGGTGGCACCTTTAACATTTACTAAGCCAGAGGTGTGTTTAAAATTTCGAACATTGTTTGGTGACAATGGCAACACACATAGTCTAATGGTGTAACCCAATCTCTAAATGAATTCCAAGTAGTAGTGAGGACAGTCCTCAGCAAGACAGGAAAACAGCATTAAATTGCATTTAGGACAGGAAAAGAGCATCTTTTTAGCCTGATACTGAAGGTGTGAATGTCCTTGGCCTAACAGGTGTGGGGTGTGTTTGTGTTTGTTTGTGTGTGTGCGTGTGTGTGTGTGTGTGTGTGTGTGTGTGTGTGTGTGTGTGTGTGTGTGTGTGTGTGTGTGCCATATTTACCAAAGAAATTAGGTACTCTGCCAGCTCTGTGTGGTCAAATATTGTAGCCCTGGAAAAGTAAATACAGTTGTTGTAAAAACAGCCACACACATGACTTTGTGAGTTAAAGTCTTGCCAGTACTGTCCGATGTCAAATAAGGAAAATCTAAATCTAATCCTGCCTTGTCAGAGCATGACTTAACAACCAGATTTTCCATTGTGGTTACATCTTTTTTCTCCTGGATTGTAATGGCTCACTTCAATGAAGCACTGTAATAACTAATTCCTGGTATTCTGGTGACATTCTGCATCAAGAGAAATACTTAAGCGGAGGAAAGAAGATTTCCACGACTGAATGATGTCCACAGAGATAATCCAGAAATCTAAAATACACAGATAATGCAATGGCTGGGGAAAGACAGGAGCATGGCTATTGTGTTTTAGTACCAGCTATTAGTAAGTTCAGTCTGGGTATTTTACAGCACTTTGCAGCAATGAAATACAAGTAAAAATGTAGGGTAAGGACTTTTCTTTCCAGATGTCAAAAAGAGGGTAAACAGGATAACATAATAGTTCTATACCCCTCCCCCTGTCCTTCTATCAGGTTTCAATCTGCTGCTGTCTATGCCAACACAAACAGCTTTTAGATAAAATCAATGTGCAAAGCATATCTTTATTATGCATTCATTTTATTATTGTCCCCAATTAAAAGCTCATTATTCTGCTAGCCATACCCACAGGTTTTATGTCTATGTTCCTCTTTTTTGTCACTGTATTACAGTGCTGATATTATGCAGATGGATTGATCTTTACGCAGCATGAGCAAGCAGTTGAGATAGTAACCACAGATATTAGACACAAAAATGCAGTGATTTACTTTTTAAAGGGGCTTAACTATGAATATTTTAATTGAAACAATGTCTATTAATAAATGACAATGAATAAAAAATGTTTATAACTATACAAAGTACTTCTGAACATTATTAACATGTATTTGCAAAAACGTTGACAAAGTAAGTGCCCCTGTCGCACAAGCAAGTGGCAGAGTGAAATAAGAGTTTTATAAAATCGGATGTTGAAATACAACTGATAAGACAGCTTTCTCCATTTTGGACTCTCTGGATCTCTCTGTTCCCTCAAAGGTCAGCTCAGTCAAGATGGTTTACAATTGGTCAACCGTGTAATTTTGCATTTCAAAATTCACCAAAGTTGAACTCTACACAAAAGCCTTGTACAAATGTACAGGTGTAACAATTCCATTGAAGGGAACTGATTAAGGTCCTAAATTCTTTTGTTATTAATGTTGCTTTAATCGGCCTCAAAAGGAATTCTATAATAGTATGGAGGCCCAAGTCTGATCAAGTCTAAGTCTAAGTATTATTATTATTATGTGCCAAAGTGACACAATCAAATTTACATAGGTTTCGTGGTGCCATCACAATACTGATAAGTCTCAAACAGTCAATGCACTGGGCCAAGAAATTGTCCCACATATAACAACCCATGGTATCGATCTAACTCTCAACAAGGAAGCAAATAAACATATTTTCCAACACATCTAACTTTTCCTTTAAGTCCTAAATGGTAAGCTCAAAGCTCAGCTACAAAGATATCATCAGAATGTATAATATCAGCAGAAATGAGGCCCTTGTGGAACTAAATTTCCATCTTGCCATTTTTGAAACCAAATGGACAAATACACGCTTTGGCATTATCATACAATTAGTGGACGCAATATAATCAGTACAGTATTTTAAATGGACTACCATTAAGCATGGTATCAGGGTGGAGGGATGTGTAAGCCCACCTGTGTAGAGGGGTCTGACATGCCCCATCACTTAGGTTGATGACGTCTTCCACTTGGTCAAAAGAGGACAGCATCAGTTTGACTACCTCAGTGGCACCCTGGGTGCAGGCCAAATGAAGCGGCGTGGACTTGTCATTCTGGACAGCAACAAATATGGATACGTTATGAGTAATGAATAATGAATAAATATAATGAATATTCAAAAGCCCTTCAAACATAATTATGTCTGCTCCGCAAAGAGACACTGTGACATGCTGAGTTTGACAGAGCAGAACATAAACACACACACACACACACATAGAGGAATTAGTAAGCTCTCACATGTACTCACTTACACACAAACGTATTGTACACTTCCCCAGTGTAACATTAGCAAAGTATCTCCCAGATTTGCTGGCTGAACACTGGGGGCTGTAACACAAGCCTTTAATGGGATAACCAGGAATGGCAGGAGGAGGCCAGTGATCGCTTCTCTCAGCTCCACTGTGTAAGTGGAGGTAATTTGTATCAATTTAGCCAACCGAAGCTATTACTGTACTCACTATTCCTGCTGTAGCTCTGGCCACTACCCCAGGGCTAGACATAACGATCACTACCAGATGGCCATGATAAGACTGACGTGCAGTACAGTACAGAGACCCTTTTCCAGAGAAATGCTTTGCAGGTGTAGGCAAATGAGCTCTGGATTATAAAACAATGCAAATCTGACAACACGTGCACTGGACAGATGAAATATTAGCAATCTGTAGCTCCCAGGGGTGGAATAGGTTGTAGGGTAGGGTGGAGTGGTAGGAAAAACAGTGGTGACAACCAAATTAATGTCTGCCCTTCTTCAAAATCCACTTTGAACTGGTTTAAACCAATGTAGAGATATATGTGACATCTTTATGTTGTTGTTGTGCTTTTGCTTTGTGTTGTCAGTACCTGTTGCTGGTCAACTTTGGCCCCGGTAGCAAGGCAGAGACGGATGGCCTCGATATTCCCACCACGTACTGCTAGGTGGAGGGGACTGCTCTTGGACTTGTCTAAATAATTGATGTGGGCTTCAACTTGATGGCCAATCTCCTCTCCTGCCGTTAGATAATTAAAGAAACAGTTTCTTAATTGTGAATAAAACACCTAAAACATATAAGGCTCATAATAAAGGTGTCTTACCTATGCTTGCATGTATGAGCTTACTTGTTTTTATTGCTGACAAGCTTTCACAGCGATTTCATTTGCAGGGCCTCGGACTTATACCTTCCTTCTTTGACTTTTATATTTAGGCTCTTTGTTTTTATAGTGGATTGAAGTAAATAGTAATTGTGTCCGTTCATGGTGGGCTGTCTGTGTAAATTCCCAAACAGCACAATAATATGAATGCCCATCACTTCCCCTGCTGAGCAATTACAAAAATAACATAAATATTTCCGTGCTCTGACTAAACCTTCCTCCAACAACACAAGATTTACCAAACAGGCCTCCCACTGTGGATAAACACACTGTCAGTCTGTGGCATCTGGCCTGTGTACAAAGTAGCTCAAGCATTTTTCTTCTGAATGTCTCTGGGGGCTGAGGTGAACTCAGTTAAACGTGCTGTTTGGCCTTGTAAAAACTTTTTCATTACTCTCAGCACTCCTGATTTTTGATGATAGATCATTCTTTTTGTCATACCGGCCTTCAGGATGACTTCCATGGCTTTCTTTGCACCTGCGAAGGCAGCTGCGTGGATGGGGAAATGGCCGAGTTTGTTCTGTTGGCAGAGCCGTGCTCCATGCTTTAGCTTCAACAGACAGGAGAATGGATAAGGAGAAAGACAAACGGGGACAATTCTTTGACATAGACAAAGCTACAGTGGGCTGGCAGTCAGTATAAAGAACAGCTACATAATCTGTTCTGTGCAGCTGGACAGTTATCCTTTACAGGCTGTTGCAGGTAGACAGTGTGACTGAATGAATACATGAGTCTGAATACATCACTCTTGCACATACCAATATGCTGAGAGCCTCCCAGTTATTGATGGAACAAGCCAGTATCATCGGGGTGTTCCCAAGGTCTCCCTGCAGATTGCAGTCTGTAGTACTGTATGACAGCAGCAGCTGCAAGGGGGGGCAGAGATAAAGACTTAACAGTGAGCTCCATCCTGTTTTTGTCCTTAGCTCTCTTACATATACGCCTGCGTCATTTATCCTCTACCAGACTGCAGCTGTGTCAGATTGTGGAAAACAGCCAGATGCTATGGGGATGACGGGACAAGGTCTTTCCAAGTAGATGGTTGAGTCAGGTTTTGTCAGTTGTCAGTTGATTTTAAAGTGCAGTGGCTGCTCTAAATTACATGTCCATGTGCTATAAAATATGTGATAACATGATTGTTTACTATCCTTTTTTCTTCACTTTGTTTATAGTATGTTCTAGGACATCTAGATTAATGGCAGATGTAGTTTTACATTGGGCTTCTTGTTGGCATAATGGGTCTATCCGGGAAACTAAAGCTTGGATTGAAAAGGTTATTGACTAACGCGAAATAATTGTCAAATTATTGGGGTGAAGTAACTATTTGATCTGTTTTTTTAATAAAATCTAATAGTAAATGAATAAGTATGAGCTATGAAAACACTGAGCATAACATTACTCATTCTGCAGACTGGATGTTTTCAGTGATGTGATAACATGTAATGAAAAAGCACATCCAAGTCATCACTGTCTATGCGTGAGGCTGTGTTAGCATACTACAGTATGTGTGTTTACTTACCTTAAAATATTGACATGCATGCGGTGTGTCACTTGTGCTTATAAATAAATGTACTGCCTCTGCAATGGCGTGTTTATAAATGAGAAAACACAAAAACACAGGAGCAGACCCACTTCACATAAATAGTTATTTCAGCTGGCCACTCTCAGCTTCCTCACCTCCACCAGGCTGTTGTGTCCGTGGTTGACAGCCAGATGCAGAGGGGACAGGAGGGCCGTGTTGAGGATGTTTGGGTTGGCCCCGAGGTCCAGAAGAGCCCTGCAGCTCTCTGCCTTGTTCCTCTCCACTGCCCAGTGTAGGGGCACGTTGCCCTGCTCATCACTGCTGTTCAGTTCTGGGATACAGGAGCACATTTAAACACACACACAAATGCAATTACATCAGGATGCATGTAGACACAGTCAACTCTTAGTGCCAGACACAGTACTCTGCAATGTAACTGTCACACAGTTATATAGTAACTTAAAGACAGAATTGCGGTGATTCACCATACAAATATTTTACCTGAGTGCAACTTATGATCGATGACCGAGGCATACCTACCCTGTGAGTCTATGGCAGTGGTGATGAATTGCATGAGGGTGACGTAGCCTCCTCCGGCGGCGTGATGAAGGGGACTAGCTCCACATTCATCTTTCTCACTCAGGACCTCTGGGCTCTTCTTCACCAGGTTTTCCAGGAGAGCCAGGTCACCCCTCTCAGCCAACTAGATGGTAACAGGGAGAGTGAAGATAAGAGAAGATTCCATTTGTCTGTCCCTGATTTCACCACAGTGAGAATTGACTCACGTTTAAATACTGCTGTAACTATATTATAATGACTGCCTTTCAAGTTACACAGTGTTGGGAATACTGATAGGGTGTTACATAAACACTCCTAATATTGTAAATACTTTGTAGAAGAGAGAAACCACATCTTGAAATGCTCTATTGTGGTTCATATTGGTTGATTTCCCCATCCATTTTGTCTATTTAATATTGATTTCTCTGTGTAAATTTGCTTCTTTTTCTCAAGGTTTGCTGACAGCCTCACCTCAAATACATTTAGGCTTCCCAGCTCTGGATCCTCATCCTCTATCACATATGTGTAACAACTGGTCTGTCGTGCCACCTCTCTGCTGAAGTTCATCACTCAACTGACCGGTAGTGGAGATAAGCCCTGGGTGCCCACATGAAGGGTGATGGCAATGACACACGTCTAGACACACACACACACATGAATGCACGTATCTGTATGCAGGCAACAAGAAAAAAGTGAAATAGAAAACAAATCCACCGTAGTTTAATAACTGGGAGAACATTGAATGTTATGTGACCGAGAGGGAAGATAACGCCTTAAGCCATACGCTCCTCTCGCCATGAGGGGTAATGGGAACAGATGACTTTGTCTTTACCCAGAAGAGCATTCAGATCCACTGAGTGTTAGGAGGTTGAAGCCCTTCTGTTGAAGAAAGCAATTATCTTCTTCACAGCTGGGGGGCAGCTTGTTTGAGTCAGTCCCAGGCGTTCTTGGGTGATCCTGGGTGAGCGAGATTCACAGAGACCTTGTAATCGTATTGTACGAGGCTCTCACTCGCATCAAAAGGCCAAACAACAAAATAACATTTTTGGCGAGCAAATTACTGTGGAGAATTCTCATTGGAAGTCCCCTCGACCTTATGCAGTAGCATTCCTTTGGCGTCTACCGTGACTAATCAAAGCAGTTTCTGGGGTCAAAACAGCAGCTCAGTTTTTTAGTGGATGGAAGTCACTTTGTGGAAATTATATTTTGTTTCTATTGCACACTTGATTTACAGTGCATTTCTGTCACTGACAACTTTGCTCAAACATTTAAGCAACATTGCATGAGTCAGTTCACCTGGATTGAGGTTCTCTTAGGGCCTGCTCCTTCGGTAGCTCCTTTGAGGCGAGCAGAATGACTCTCTCCAGATGAGAGAGATCAATAATTAACTCTAACCTCTGTGAGCTGTGGTCACCGTGGAAATCAATTGAATGCACTTCTCTTCAGGTAGCTCTGCAGATTAACAGTGGATTCTTCTGACAAGTGAATAAAGAAAAAGAATCATAAAGTGCAGCTCTTGCTCGAACATGTGGCTATTGCTTCACAAGCATTTACCTTGTTTGGAACCAGTTATGAGGTACACATATTGAAAGGATGACATAGATGTATAATTTCTGCTGAAGATGACATTTTTGTAATAGGATACTGCAAAACATTTACATGAATATTTTATACTTAAATTAGGCTTGCACTTAAGTCTTGACCACAATGCAAAGTCACACTTTTTTCACAGTGGAGCCTTTTGAGTTAAATGAGAAAATGGAATATCTTTTTTCCTCCAATGTATTGTACTTGATGGATATAGCACCTGTATTCTTGCATTTTTATCTCTATAATTCTACAGTGTGATTTTTTTGTTTCTGATGTGGTGTTAATGCATGGGGTGTGGCACTTCGACATTGACTATGGCAACTTCATTATTCAATCGATCGATCAATCCAATTATCATTAATTATATACCTGTGCTTGGCCGACTATGGCTGCGGTGGAAAAGTGAAAAAAATTGGCTTTCCTAACCACTTGTCCAGGACCTTGATGAAAAACGCTACAAGTGCAAGGGAAGATGTGAAGGAGATTTCATAAGGACATGGAAAAGACAACCGCAGTGCTCAGAGAATCCGACTGCACTAACTCTAGGCTTTTAAAAATGTTTTATCTATAACACATGGAAGATAAGTACAGTGACAACTAAATTTTTATACATTTTAAAGTTGAGAAAATTTACTTTTCAGTGCATTCCACAACAGGGGGATTCAGTGAAACAAAATTTATACTATTTTGTTATGATAATTATATTGGAAATTGGAAATTCCATATAATTGTTTTTGCCAATCACACAAGGATTTTCATACTTTCCTGATTGTGTCATTTTCATACTTTCCTGGTTGTGTCATAAGCATAAAATAGGTGCTCTGTAGTTTCTACATTTACGTGGGTCTGCTATGGTGAAAGTACAATGCTGCATTGTTGTAAATGTTGCTGCCGCAAGGATTTGTGGGACAGCATTATCTCCTTTCCTTTCTTAAAGGATGGTCCAGTGTACCCTATGCTGAAGGAGGTAAGAAAGGAAGCAATGAAGCACCTTTCTAGCTTTTTTCAGAGAATTCGACCAGCTCTTATCATGGCTGCCACATTTCACTCAGTTAGGAACCTTCCTAAGCAAAAAAAGACTATTATTATACTACTCTTTGACTGCAGCCGATATATGTTGTTTGCCTTCCTTTGTGCTCCAGTCTCTGTTTTTCCTTAAGAAGTGTGCTGTCCTAACACTGAGCAGCTCTTGATTCAGCCGTATAATGTTTGGAGATGTGCAGAGAATATAATTTCAAAGTAAATGTGGTCACTTCACCTCCTCTGTGGTCCTGATTGAATTGCACATTACAGTAAAATCCAGACAATGCAGCCTCATTTGCTTCTAATTTAGTGAATTTCCTCCTCCCCATAATTTCCGAGCAGCAGCGGTAAATAATGGTTTTATGTAATTGAGCCTGCCACTCATCTTTATGCAGAAGCCAAGTATACAGGAAGAGCACATTTCCTAAACAGCTGAAATAATTTATATAACAGCATTTAATGATGACATCCTTGTATCCAAGGGATTTGATTCAATCTGTTCGTATTCAACAGTATACAATAGTATTATTGACACACATAGGGATAAATGTTTGCTCAAAGAATTTAATTATTAAAAAACTATTACAATGACTAATCAGAGTTTAATAATGTATGCATTCTAGTTATTATAGAATAGAATATATTTTTGCAGAAAACTATAATCAAATATAAAATTTTACATTAGGTTGTGATCATGGAACATAAAAACCAAAATGATTAGAAAACCTGAGGTACTAATTGATAAATAAATGAAGAACCAGTGGTGTAAAGTAAGTAACTGCATTTACTCAAGTACTCTACCTAAGTATTTATGTACGGAAATATTGAGGTACTTCTATGCTACTTTATACTTCTACCCCACTACATTTTAGGAGGACATGTTCACCACTTCATTTATTTGACAGTTATTTATAAAAAAAGCTTACAAAAAATACAACACATTAAATATTAAGCTATTGGCTTCTGACATTTTTGGATTGTTACCACTCACATTCCAATATCCCTTATTTTCATATACCCTCATAGTTTTTGTTGAAAACTAAAGCAAGAACTGAAAGAGTTGAAGGCATTATGTACTTACTGTATTTGTGTGATGCTGAGCAATCAGGATGTTCTCCTCACCACTGCATCAGAGCTTTTAAATACTGTGGGGAGAGAGTGATTACCCAGTCTGTCTCCTAATGCAGGCAAGACGCTGCCCCTTGTGACCAGATGACTCTCATGATGTTTTCACAGAGACGAAGGCAAGCCCCATGTTGTAACATGATAGGAAATTTGGTTGCAACACATTAAGCAACAAACATGATACCGCTCACATTGAGTATTAGTTGATTTGAGTGGATGCTTGATACAAAAAAAAATGGTCACAGTGCAAAAGGTGATTTTAAATCTTTTATGCAGTAATGGTTTAAAAGTGTTTTTCCTTTTGTGCTAATTTAAAATTTGACACTTTCCTTCCACTAGAGAAACCTGAGCATGCGTTCATGTACAAAACAGCCTTTGCGATCATTTCCAGTTTGCAGGGCTGACCTTATTATTGTTAGTGCTTGAACGGCAAGGCTCCCTGACATTTTCAACGAAAAAAAGAAGAAACCATCCAGCTACACATGACATACTGTATTCCATTTATCAAAACATTACTCGAGGGAAGAAAACAATTACCTTTACTTCAACTGTTTGGGACGGGGCCTGTTTCTCTTAAACCAAGTGACTCTTGACGACCTTTAGGACCTCCTTGTTAATTGTGAGGATTACTGAATGTTCTTCAGGGATTCTTTATCAGGTAGGATTATCAGATACAGTATATCATTAATTAAGGATTATACTAGTATTTCTTCCAACAATATCATCAAGGGAATAAGTATCATCTGAGATTGCAGATTGGTCATTGACTACACAAAATGCAAATTCTGGATGACACCCCACCTGACTTAAATGTACAATGTGTAATATTTGGCCAGAAGGTTAGTTTAAATATAATCAACATAATGTGAAGAAGTAACAACTCTGATGTCATGTCATAGATGTCTATGTTTTGGGTTGCAGAGATATTAACTGAAGTTAGCATGCTAATCAGCTAGCCTCAACACATCCTGTACCACTTGCTCGTCAAGAGGCTATAGTGAGTCACTGCAGCGTCCAGTCTGCCCTCAGTCCAACATGAGAGGACAAAAAATTAGAGCTGGCCTGAGGGCTTGTCAATTATTGCTGCACGACCTACTCCCTCTTCCTCGCGCTACTCGACCACTTCTTTCCCCTCAACCTCTGTTTTTTTGTCCTCTGCCACCACTTCTTCTTCTTCCCTGTCTCTGACCGGACAGACTGTGTGAAATCGTCGTTGTGCAGGGACACACAGGAGGATTAAGCGCCCCGAAGTGCTGCCCGCTTCCTTTCGGTGTTCAAATTAACCTACTGGGCTGTTCAGAAAGAGCGAGCCAGTGTCGATACAGCCGTGAGCGAATCTGGAAAGAAAACTCTGATAATAATAATAATAATAACTGATAATCTATTAAAAATGATCAAAATCTGCCTATTCACTATAATTATTAAAATTAGTTTGTTAAATTACATTCTTATTCCACACATTTGTCAGTTATGTGTAAACAGAGTGACAGACAGGAGCTGGCAGGAGAGAAGCCCCTCCCCACAGATCATCACACAAGGCAATGGTCCTTTTAACTTTATTTCTGCCGTAGAAGCTATACCTGCTAATCGTCAGTTGGGCCTTCAAAGTTTAATTTGTGAGGTTATAATAAAGATAAGCTCTAAATGTGATTAAAAAGAACATAAGAGCAGAATCGCTTAGAGAATAGCCTGGCTGATGGGGAGGAGGAGGTGAAATGCTGCCTTCTATTTGTTTGGAGCATGTGGTCAGGAAATACAGAGTGTACCTTTAACCTCTTAATCAAAAAGCACTAAAAAAGAATTGCAACCACTGAAACAGATCTGATTTATGGCAGCTTTGTTATAATTAATGAATAAATAAATCTGCAAACAATTTTCTAATTTTATTAAAAATCTTCAAGTTTTATTTTGCTGCCAAACAACAAAGCACAAATCTATCCATCATAATAAGTGTCACCAGGTATACTTCATTCAGATCCAGAGTCCAGAATACATCTAATAGCTCAAAACTAATATTTGCCCGGTTATTGTACTCACCGGTTATTTTGAGATGGGCTGTTGTCCAAACAATATTTATTGAAAGCCACACATACAGCAGAAGCCGAGCCAGTGCCACAAACAGAACAATGTCTTTCTAGCGGAACTTGATCAATTGCCTGGATCAGATTGTATTAGATAAATAAATGGTACCTGCAGAACAACATGGTTGTGTTTGTCTTGGAAATTATAATTTAATGCATAAAGGCAGAGATGGAAGAGAGGGTGGGGAAGATAAAGTCAGGTGCGCATGTATGTGCTTTGACTAAATTTGTTTCAGGGTTTGCCTTTAGGAGTGTTCCTGTGTGTTTAATGACAACATGATTAGAATATTCTGTAGTTCAGATGGAGGTTAGCAGTGACGTGGCGCCTATGTCAGGCTGCTCCACCACACCTGTCGAATGATGCTGCAAATGCTGACAAGTTGGTTAGTGAGCTCTGGTCCTGGAAGGGCTACTGGGGACTAAATAATGCATTTATGCCATGATGCAGAGGGCATACTGTACACTGTAAAAACCCCATTGCATAAAAAATGTAATTCCTTTCATGCCTCCCCACATGTTCACTCATGCATTTCAAACCACTCTTTCTAATACACATAAAAAGTTTATTTCCAATATTACACATTTGCCCAGATTTACTTATTGAGTGTTTTGTTGGCAACCGAACAGGCATCACGAAAGAAATTTTTGTG